GAGCACACTGCTGGCTCCTGGTCAGTTTTCTATCTCTCCCAGCTCCCAGGTCCCTTTCTCCTGGTGCTCTCCAGCCACTCTGTCCCAGCCTGGAGCTCTGCATGGGATTGTTATGGCCAAAGTGCAGGACCAGCACTTGGCCTTGTTAAACCTCATCCCATTGGAATCAGCCCATCTCTCCAGCCTGTCCAGGTCCCTCTGCAGAGCCCTCCTGCCTTCCAGCAGATCCACACTCCCCCCAAAGAGATCACTGGATCAAAAAACCAAAGGGAAGTGTGCATTCAGTTAACTGTGCACACATATGGGAAGGCACTCAGCCACACCAAGTTTGCCTTACAAACAACCAACTGTTGTAGATGATCACTACATTTCTCCCCTCCAAAACGATCCATTATTTAGTTGAAGAAGTATTTTCAAGCCTTAGCCATTTGTTTTCAATCTTTTTCAAAGCAAGACTTTTTTCCTCTATCACTATTGTCAAGGATTTGGGGTTTTGCCACATTGTTATAGGTCAAAGAAAACAAAACATATAAACTTAGAAGAAATAGGACTTGCAAACATCTTGGTGCAAAAGAAAAACAAAAAAAAAAAAGCAGTAAATTTCAGCTTGAAAGATCAATGTTTTGGAAAGTTATAAACACATCAAACCAGGATTTCTAATAGAAACTCCTGCAGGTGCTGAACCTCACATTTATCTTCTAGAGAAATTATCAAAGTGTGACAAAGAGGCATTTGTCAAAATACTTGACTACACCAATATTCTGAATCCTTAAGTACATGTCTAGAAAGATAGTTTTCTTCTAGCTCTAACTCCCCTCCAATAATGCTCAGAAGTCACTATTTCATGAATGCAGGAGAAAAAAATACCTAACTTAGGAGTGCAATAAGCAAAGAAGGTTACAGGTGCTTAACCATCTGCTCTGAAGACGTGAAATATAATACTGGAAACTAACTCTAAGTTAATATTGCCTTAAAGTACTAGACCCTATGGAAGAACTTGCAGTATATAGTTAATAAAACCTGTTAATAAAATCTCACAGTAAATAATATTCAAAGAGACATATTAGCAAGCAAAGTTACCAGGGAATATTACATTTATTTCAACATTTAAAGCCAAAAAATTGTAACAAACAGCCTCAGTCATCCACAAAAGGATCTTCTTTATTTATTAAGAAGTTATTACAGCTGTGGCTTACTGAGTGATACTGCAATCACTCTGTAGTCATCTTTACTAAACCCTGGCTTGAATCAGGAAAGTAAACTCCCTCCAGAAAACTGCCCAAAACTCCATCAGCTCCAGGAAAGACCTTGGGACTTATCAAAAAGGAAGCATCAACTAGCTTAACTTATTCTATGGGTAAATTGATGCATCTACCCACTGGTTTTTATCTTTCTTATCAAGTGAGAGGAAATGCTGCTATAGCAGCAAGTGTGACAAGTCCTCAAGTCCCTCAAAATAAATGGCAAGGCCAGACACTAAGCACCATGGCAAGGACAAAACTGACAGGCCTGCACAAAAGTCTTTTGAGATGTGACAGTTTGCATTTCATGTTGGAATATAAACGGTGGGAGGGGGGGAGAAATAACATCAGAGGAAGTCTTGGCAACAGAGGGAATGGAGAAGCAGGGACAGAGAGGATCTGAAATAAGCTCTATGCCCCAGCTGGCTTCAGGATGCTCCCGAGGCTCTACAGCCAAAATTGCATCTCTTTAGCCTTAAAAAAAGATGTTATCCTTGTACATTATTACTAAAGTAGATGACAGATGCAGATGAGATGGGAAAAGGTTTCCCAGGTGCTGAAAGTCCCAGATTCAAGATTGAAGGAGACCTTTAAAATCATCTAGTCCAACCACCAATACAGCACCACCATAACCACCCTAAACCTGCCACATCCAGATACCTCCTGAACACTTCCAGAGACTGTGACTCCACCACCTGCATGGGCAACTTACACCAATGCCTGACCATACCTTCCAGTGAAAAATGTTTTTCTAATACCTAATCAGAACCACCCCTGGTACAACTTAAGGCCATTTCCTCTCATCCTTTCACTTGAGGTATGGCAGAAGAGGCTGACCCTCACCTGGCTACAACTTCTTTCAGGTAGTTGTAGAGAGCAGTGAGGTCCCCCCTGAGCCTCCTCTTCTCCAGACTAAACAACCCCAGTTCCCTCAGCTGCTCCTCATAAGACATGTTTTCTAGACCCTTCACCAGCTTCATTACCCTTCTTTGGACTTTCCACCACCCTTGTTGGTGTTGGCAATGGATATCTGTTAGTGGACAGACTCTAAACATCTTGCTTTGGAATCACTCCATAATCAGATACTCAATCCATTCCGGACAAAGCTTCTTAAACCCAATCACCTTCATGGCTTCAAGTTTGACCTTAGTGTCACACAGTTAGATCTTATGTCCTTCACATCTTTTCTCAGAAACCTCCAAGAAAGTTTGTCCTTCTGCTGTTTCCATGATCATTTTCCTAGGTTTCTGGGATATTTCTGGTATTAGGGTTTAAGCATTGCATGACATTACAAAGTCCCAAACCATGAAAGACTGTATGTGATTACAGAACCCCCTCATATTCCTTGAGACATTTTAGGACAAATAAGGGAAAAAGCACAGAATACTCATTCTTTTATGTCACCATGTTAGTCATAGCATTTGATACACTAAAGAACTTGTTTCAAGTATGAATTTACACCGAGGAATCTCTATCTTCCCACACGCTTTACCAGTGTGACACCAAAAGCCAAGTGATTAAAAATTGAAGCTGTCACATGTAAAGAGATTAATTTTCCTTCAAACCCATGTGTCCTCTGCCTGAGATTTCCCCAAACACTCCTTGAGCTTTAATTTGCAGACAATGCCAGGCTAACACATCACTCTAATAGAAATGCACTGGTGGAGACAACACCTCACCCACTGAAACACAAAGCAAGTTACCTCTCGTTTGTTTCTTCTGGCAACTTTGAGAAATTCCATAAGGATCTGCAACTGGGCAGCATGGGACTCCTGGAACACAGGAAATAAGGAAGTATAACTTTTCCAGGTATGTTAAGAGAAGCAAATATTCATTTTATACACAGAAATCTACACTTCACACAGAAACAGCTTTCACTTAGAGGTTAGAAAGAGAAAAATAGCTTAAGGCAGGTTTTACTTGGCCTTACAGGTTTTAAGGCTTTGTTATGTTCATGACAAGTTTTTACACGAAAGAGAAGTCATTGTAACAGTTATTTGTGCTTTATTAAAGTCTTACTAATAAGTCAACATGCTTTTCTTTGGCTACTGCACCTGAAATTGATTTTGGAATACAGATTGCTCAGTCTCATCTTCTGCCCTGAAAGATCATTAGCATCCACTTCATGATTAACATGCTAAAACATGATGTATTTACATAAAACATGAAGGACATGGAACAGTTGGAGCAAATCCAGAGGAGGCCACAAAGCTGATAAGAGAACTGGAGCACCTTCCCTACAAGGACAGGCAGAGAGAGTTGGGGCTGTTCAGTCTGGAGAAGAGAAGGTTGTGTGGAGAACTCAGAGCAACTTCCAGGAGCTGAAGGGGCTCC